AAAAAAAAAAAAAAGAAGTGATCTAAGCCTGCTCTGCACCATCACCCAGGAAAAGAGGGGAGCAGACAGTTCAACAGGACACGATTCATCCACATTGACAACACCTAAAGACAAACTAAACCGTGTGATGACTATGAACAGTTAAGAGATATAAGTGCTGCACAGGACCCCCTAGCCTGGTGGGGTCATCATGAGTCTGATCTTCCCATCCTGGCTCAGTTTGCACGACAATATATGTGCATTTCAGCATCAAGCTGTGCATCAGAATGTGTCTTCAGCACATCTGGAAATATCTGTAGTCCAAGGCGTTCTAGATTGAGTGAGGAACACCTAGACATTTTGGTTTTCTTGGCCAAGAATCTCAACAAGACAAAAAGCCTGAGTCAGACTCAGTAGATAGTCTACTCCAAAAGAATCAGCCACCCAATAGTAGGCAAGAGAGGGAGTAAGGAGAAGGGACATAATGTTGATAGGAAAATAAGAGATTTTGCTGCTACAGTTGCTAGCTTATTTTAATTTCAAATAATTTTATTTGTTCTAATTGTTCTAAGTTAGAACTTCTAACTTCATACTTTTTTACTCACACTGACTTCTAAAAAAATTTTTTTTTGAGTGCAATAAGAAAAGCCTAGTATTTTGAATTTTATTTTGATGTTGTTCTAAGATTTTCTGTTAAAATAAAGTCAGTAATGACATTTTTTGCGTTCTCTTTTTATCTGAAAAACTATCCAAAAGTATTGAAAGTATCGAAATACAAATGTTGGTATCGTGACAACACTACTACAAACGTTTAACTTGGAGCCAATAGGCTCCTGGTGTTTTCCTGGGGAACCATCTGACCTGTAAGCTACTTTTATCTCAGGGCATGCTGACTTATTATTCTGACTCACTGAGTTTTAAAATAACATTACTTGACACTTGTTTTAAAGTTGGTATACATGAAGGATGAACTGAGTGTGAACACCAGGACAACAGCAAATGTTAGGTCTGTCATGGAAAAAAAATTTGCCTATGATTTAATGATGTGGATGTTTACGCACAGAAGAAGAGGAGTGAAAATCTTCTGGTTTGAAGTAAGACTGTGTGTTTATATTTATGACTGGCCTGTTGTTGTAACATGGCAGGCTGTATGTTATCAGTAAGTGTTGGGAGCTGTCAGTCATAATGAAGTTGTAAAAATGGCACAG